TTTCTGAAGAAGGGTCTAGGCCCGAAACGTCAGCCTTCCTGCTCCTCTGATGATGCTTGGCCTGCTGTGTTCATCCAGCTCTACACCTTGTTATTTAGGGTTCAGAAGAGATTTACTAAGATGTTGCCAGGTATGGAAGGTTTGAGTTACAAAGAAAGGCTGGATAAGCTGGGGCTTCTTTCACTGGAGGAGAGAAGGTTGCGGGGTGACCTGATAGAAGTTTATAAAATAATGAGGGGTATATATGTTATAAATATTTATAGAGTTAATGGTAGTTTTTTTTTTAAACCTTAGAATGGGGGAAGTTCAAGACTGGGGCCCATTTTTAAGGTGAAAGTAGAGAGATTTAAAAAAAGACAAGAAGGGCAAGCGTTTTTTTTAAAAAACACTGAGGGTGGTTTGTGCGTGGAATGAACTTCCAGAGGAAGTGGTGGATGTGGGTAGTTACAACATTTGAAAGGTATCTGGATAGGTACATGAATAGGAAAGGTTTGGAGGGCCAGGAGCAGGCGGGTGGGACTAGTTTAGTTTGGGATTATGGTTGGCATGGGCTGGTTGGGCCGAAGAGTCTGTTTCTGTGCCGTGTGACTCCATAGGAGCTGGCAAAAACAGGATGAGCTGAACAGTCTCCACTCATGCCCTGTTAACTTGGCAATCCCAAGAATTTAGGGCAATCAAGGCAGATGGCCCCCCTGTACACCAGGGATAGGCAAACACACTCCTGTACATCAAAGTGGAGGGTAGGACACAGTGAATAAGCAGCTCTGCACGGCAACACCCCCACAGAGACAAGCTCACAACAAACCCGATACAAAACCGTGGCTCTGTCAATCCATTCAGACAGCAGGTGGGACACGATCCAGGACCTCCTGTCCCAGAGACAGGCACAATACCACTGCCCCAGCAACACCCACCCCCTCTCCACCCACCGCCCAAACGTGACCGAGCCGAGGGGTTCAAAGCAAGGAGCCGAGTCCGAGACGTACCGAGAGGAATATCCGCGGACATGCTGAGTGTCACGGTCGGTGACAGCGGGGTGGCCTTGGTGAAGAAATTCAGGTACTGCAGAGCGAAAGTCAACTGCACGGGTTCATTCATCTCAATGGTCACCTGTCAGACAGAGCAAAGGTTTCAATTTGTCCAGCCATGACGGACATGGTGTTCGCAAAGCTGTGCACTCTCACTGACACCCCCTACCTCCAGCCCAGCCCAGACTGCCAGGCAGCAGGGTAGATTAACAAGAGGGGCATCAGCTCTGACACAGTGATGGGCAGTGTTGGATAGCTGCTTTACAACAAAGGGCTCCCCGCAGCGGGCCAAGGTTCCAATGGAAAACCGTCCTTCTCGACCTCCCACCCCTTGCCCGAGAGGACGCTCAGGTTAAACCACCACCAGTTTTCTCTCTGGCCCACTGCCCAGTCAGACTATGGCGACTTTACTACAGCGAGCAGCTGAGAGAACAAGCTATGATCACTGCTGTCTGGGGATTACTGACACCGCTGTCACAGCGCACCCCCTCCCCACCAAGCAAACTGTGCTGACACAGGCAGTGGAGCCCCGTTCTGACTTACTGCATCGTCCTCCTTGTCCACATTGCTGGTCTGCGAGAGCTTGACGTTCCCAGTGCCCAGCTCCCCACTGGCTGAGAACTTCACCCCGTCTTTGGCGCACGAGATCACCACCGCGTCACCGATCTGGCTCAAATCCCGGCAGATTCTGGCAAATTCTCCAGATGGCATCTTCACCACGCAGCTATACTCCTGCTCCTGGAATGGGCACACGGGGGCACAGCGGTCAGGACCAAAGTGGGGGGCGGGGGTGCATAGGCTCTGAATTAAAAGGCTGACAATTTTAAGACTTGAGATGAGGAAGGAATTTATTCTCTCAGAGGGCTGAATGTCTTTGAAACTCCTGGCCGCAGAGAGCTGTAGGGCGGCAGAGTCCCTGTGGATATTGAAGACTGAGACAGATTCGTGATCAGTCAGGGAATCAGGGGTTAAAGGGAAAGGGCAGGAATGCGGACATGATGAATGTCAGATCAGACGTGATCCCACTGAATGGCAAGCAGGCTCTAGGGCTGAATGGCCTACACCCAAATTTTTTCTAATGGACTTGAGGAACAAGACAGAACATTGGCCATTATTACACAGCCCAGTCAAAAACACAACCCCCCCCCAACCCATCGATAACACTGATTCCTGGTTGAAACATAAGCTGCAATTTCCCCATGGGACTCATTGAAACATCAGAGGAAAACTCATTGTCTTATCAACCAGTTCAGAAATGTTATTGTACACCTCTGGAACAGGTGGAATGTGAACCCGGGCCTCCAGGCTCAGAGTTAGGGATACTACCACGGTGCCACAAGAGCCCCAAATACCAACCCTCTTCCCCCTGCCACCAAGAAGATCAAAACCTCAAACTCTCACCCTGTTATGGGGGCGGGTAGGCGTGTGTGCGAAAGAGAGAGAGAACTGGATGGCTCAATTTTCAGGAAAGGCTGGCTAGGCTTGAACTTTTTTCCCTGGAGTGCAGTAGGTTCAGGGGTGACCATACAGAGGTCTGGAAAATCATGAGGGGCATTGATAGGGTGAATGGCAAAGGTCTTTCCCCTAGGGTTAGGGAGTCCAAAACTCGAGGACATAATTTTAAGGCGAGGGGACAAAGATTTAAAGCAGGACCTGAATGGCAACTTATACACACAGAGGGGTGTTCAAAGGGTCTGTTCCGTGCTGTATGACTTGAGAATCCAAGAATCCGGTAATTCCATTTTCCTGAAAAACTGTCCGAGGACTGACCAAAGCTCCAGTAACTTTCAGCGTGAAGCCATAAGCCAACACAAGCCTAGCTGGTGACAGACGATCAATGCCATCCCTACCTGTTCCTAAATATCTTCAAACTCACTCACCGGGATTCCCAGCTGTTCAACGTCCAAATCCATCAGCTTCATCTCATAATCGGAGACTTTCTCCTGGTCTGAGAAGAGACGCACACAGTCAGGGGAACACACCAGCACTTTGTGCCCATCAGATCCCACATACAGCACACCGACAGACACATGTTGGCACCAGCGTGTCAGTATCCCTCACGGTCTGCCATCGACTCATCGGAATGGCACCAGAGAGATACTCTGAAACCACAAGAACCAACTGTCTTTTCTTTGGAGAAATTTACAAACAGGCAGGCCCCGAAAAGAGAGGGTTGCTCCGATTGACAGAGAGAGAAAAACAGTTATTGCTCTCGGCTCCAGAGGAATCATTGAACGTAATTGGAAACAGAGAGAGGGAAAGGAATTTCTTGTAAATAAAAGAGGCAGCCAGTGCTCATGTTCTGGAACACACTGCTTCAGAGAATTTGGGATCTGCTTCAAGTGCGACTTTGCCAATGACGCTGGATGACTCTTTGAAGAACAGCCATTTGGACGGTGATGACTGAAGTCTCAGTGAGCAGCTCTTTCAAACAGCGTGCTCCTCACTCCTCCCAATCTACTCTCAGCAGCTCATTGGCCAATTCGCCCATCAATGCCAAGTGGTTTTGGGTGGACAACACAGGGCACTGGAAGATACTGCTGGCCCCTGACCAGCACCAGTTCCCACGTGAGGGACGGACTTTGACGGGTGGGTGGGGTGGAAATGAAGCCAGGGCACCAGATCAGAGGCAGGGCCTGATACTTACTCTGTGACTCGAACACCAGAGCCAGTGTGTCAGCATTGTCCTCAGCTCTCAGGGTGATGATATCGTCATTGCCTGCACATTTGAGAATCTTGGACATGCTGCAAGGAAAACCACAGGAACAGAGAGATCACCTTCTGACCCAGTGTAACAACTCATTGGAGAATCGGCTAATGTATCCGTGAGACACAGGAGATTCAACAGGGGATACACGTAGAGAGAGAGAGAGAGAAAATCGAATTCGACACAGGAATCTGGTTACTGCTGTAACCTGGCAAAAAGCCACCCCCTGGTTTGGAGACATGAATTCAAACAAGGTGCTGTGTGATCTACTCTCAAATTTCACATCACCAGCACCATGGTTACTTTATCTGATCTGGGAAACTGACACTCTCTGCTGAGAGGGGTTGGTAAAGAAAATCGGAACAAGCTTCTGCGTGGTTCAACATGATAGACTGGTTCGCGAGGTCAGATCACATGGAATACAGGGAGAAACTAACCATTTGGATACAGAACTGGCTCGAAAGTAGGAGACAGAGGGTGGTGGGTTGCTTTTCACCCTGGAGGCCTGTAACCAGCGGTGTTCCACACGAATCGATGTTGGATCCACTGCTTTTCCTCATTTATAAATATGATTTGGATGTGACTATAGGAGGTATGGTTATTAAGTTTGCAGACCACACCAAAACTGGACAGTAAAGAAGGTTACCTCAGAGTACAACGGGATCTTGATCGGATGGGCCAATGGGCCGAGGAGCGGCAGACGGAGTTTAATTTAAATAAATGTGAAGTGTTGCATTTTGATAAGACAAACCAGGGCGGGACTTAATGGTAAAGTCCTGGGGTGTGTTGTCAAACAAAGAGACTCTAGGGTTCAGGTTCACAGTTCCTTGAAAGTGGAGTCGCAGGTAGACAGGATAGTGAAGAAAGCATTTGGTACGCTTGCCTTTATTGGTCAGTGCATTGAGTATAGGAGTTGGGAAGTCATGTTGCAGCTGTACAGGACATCGGTTAGGCCACTTCTGTAGCACTGAATTCAGTTCTGGTCTCCCTGCTATAATAAGGATGTTGTGAAACTTGAAAAGGTTCATAAAAGATTTACAAGAATGTTGCCAGGGTTGGAGGGTTTGAGCTACAGGGAAAGGCTGAATAGACTAGGGCTATTTTCCCTGGAGCATTGGAAGCTGAGAGGTGACCTTAAAGAAGTTCATAAAGTCACGAGGGGCATGGATAGGAATGAATAGCCAAGGTCTTTTCCCAGGGGTGGGGACACAGGTTTAAGGTGATAGAGGAAAGATTTGAAAAGAACCTAAGGGGCAACATTTTCATGCAGAGCGTGGTGCATGTATGGAATGAACTACAACAGTAAGTGGTGGAAGTCTGTAGAATTACAATATTTAAAAGCCACCTGGAGGGGTATATAAATAGAAAGGGTTTGGAGAGACACGGGCCAAATGCTGACAAATGGGACTAGATTAATTTCGGACAATCTGGCTGGCAGGGACGAATGGACCGAAGGGTCTGTTTCTGTGTTGTACATCTATGCCTTATTACAGCTGGGAATGAGAAATAACAAGGGGGCAGCTACACTCAATTTGGGGGGAGGGGATATGGAGGAATAAAAATGCTTGTTTTCAATGCCATCCACGGGGTCCTCTGCTCCCCTGCCCTGGGAGGGGATCAGAGAGTGAGAAAGTACACTGTGGGGAGGGATCCCATGGGATGGCAGAGCTCAGGGAAGGGGTGGGGGGAAAACCTGGAACATCCGATTGGTAAGCAGGCACAATGAGTCAGTGTGGCATTGCGGGGGGGGGGGGGGGTTTGGTACACAGCCCTGGGGGTGGTGGGTGGGAAAGAGGCTGGAGGAAGTAAGCAGGAGGCAAGGGTAAGGTGGGCGACAAGGTTTGAGATGCTAGAGGATGGGGCACCAGGTGGGTTTGGGAGGGGCAAGGGAATGTTTTGGACCTTCACAATCCCAACCTCACACCCTTCCCCAGGAGACAGAGCAACAGCTCCTGCCAACACTGGAGTGAACATCGCACAGGGAGAACAAGACCGCAAGACACAGGAGCAGAAATTATGCCATTCAGCCCATCGAGTCTGCTCCCCGCCATTCAATCATGGCTGATAAGTTTCTCAAACCCCATTCCCCCTGCAACCCTTGATCCCTATCTCCATCTTAAGTGCTCAAAGACCCGGCCTCCACAGCCCTCTGTGGCAGTGAATTCCACAGGTGCACAACCCTCTAGCTGAAGAAGTTTCTCCTTATCTCCGAGCTTGAAGGGTCTTCCCTTTACTCTGAGGCTGTGCCCTGGGGTCCTAGTCTCTGCTACCAATGGAAGCACCTTTCCCCCAACGCCCACTCTGTCCGGACCGTAAGTTTGAACGAGAGAAGGAGCGGTCTCTTCTCACTCTCTCACACACAGTGAGGTTAGCCCCTATGTATCCTTTTTTTTTGTTTCAATGAATGAATGAATGAACCAAGTTGCTACAATTCCCGCCAAGCGGGCCTTTCGCGCGCGTCTGACGTCACGGGCGGGCGGACTGGCTGGCGCCATTTTCCTGCAGCAATAGATACAGAGGAAAGCAGGAGGGCAACTGGGGGGGCAAATACATGCTCAATTAATGCCCCCCCCAACAACAACAACAACACGCCGGCGCGGGGTAGCGCCGCTCTCCTGCTGGCAGGTTGCACGCACACACAGAGGTTTGCAGCCACAGGGATTCTTCTCCCCCCCCCCAACACATCCCAGGGTTGGGGGGGGTTAATGCTCCAGCACCCCCACCCCAGCACCACACTGACCTGCTCAGGTTGACGCCCATGGCCAGGTTGCGGTCACAGCGGTAGGTGTCGAAGCCATCGCTGCGCAGGGTAAGCTGCACCAGGGACACATGCGAGCTGTCCATGGACTGCAGGCTGATCCCGGTCGAGCTGATGTCCCAACAAGCCTCGGTGATGAGGTCCTTGAGGGCTTCCAGCACCTTCTTCAGGATGCTGCCCTGCACCAGGCGAGCCTCAAACATCTTGGCACGGAGCTGCCACAGCAACAGGCAGGCAGACACAGAAAGAGAGAGAGGGTCAGGCCAAGGAACTGTACAGCACTGCCACACTCACTCAGGCTGTGCAGGAAATGAGAAGGCCTGCACTTCTCTCACTTCCTCATATAACCTCATGCAAATCAACCCTACCATATATGGTAACGGCGCGAAACCCTGCCTCGTCATTTTAAAAGAAATAAAACCTTTTGCAATTTGGGTGTAAAGTCTTTAACTCAATTGCAAGCTCCTCCTGGAGTTATACAATATATTGCAACATGGTACTCATGGGGCACTGTTATTTGCAAATAATTCTGCTCCCAGGGCCAGCGGACAACACGAAATTGTTGCATTTTGTGTTAAAATATGGTATGCAGTGTATCACAATTTCTACATATTTCAACAGCAAGGTCCAATGTTTACACAAAAGAATGATCGTGTTAATTCATTGCGGTGAAAGCATGCCATGGCAGTTTTTTTTTGCAAAGGAATATTGCCCCATTTTATAAAAGTTTCAGTCGTTTCTCTGCGTCGAAAAGTGGGCTGGACGCGCTCAGCAGCGCCGCTCTGCCGCCCCTGGCGGATGGAGGACGAGTTTGGGAGGACTAACTGAGGGAAGATGGCAGCAGCGCCGCTTTGCTGCCCCTGGCGGATGGAGGTCCAGAGTTGGAGGACCAGCGGGCCAGGCAGGATTAAAGGGGCGGGGTGGAGAGCGTGGCACCGCCGCTTTGCTCCTCCCCTGGCGGATGGAGGACCAGGGTGGGAGGAAACTGGGGAAAGAAGCGTGGTAGCGCCGCTTTGTTGCCTCCTGGCGGATGGAGGACCAGGTTGGGAGGAAACTGGGGAAAGAGCGGAGCAGCGCCGCTTTGCTGTCCCTGGCGGATGGAGGACCAGAGTCGGAGGACAGGCGGAGCTGGGAGGACTAGAGTGGGAGGACCAGCGGGGCTGGGAGGATCAGAGTGGGAGGACCA